CAAAACAAACACACATTCAAGCAAACAAAATAACAAAGAAAACAAACAAGCAAACAAACAAAAACAAGCAAACGAGCAAAAAGCAAACAAACAAGCAAGCAAGCAAGCAAGCAAGCAAACAAACAAACAAACAAACAAACAAACAAACAAATAAACAAACAAAGAAACAAAGAAACAAAGAAACAAAGAAACAAACACATGCCCTGAAACAAGCAAAACTTACAGATTGGCCCGTGCCCATTCTTTGCGCCGACAGGTCGGCTTCTGGGTTCCCCCGCGCTGGGGTTGCGGCCTCGGCTCAAGCACCGCGCCAGCGGATGCCGGGAGTTCCTCGCTGCGCTCCCCGCGCGCCTGGGGGAGTGGGGGGAGTCAGCGTCCCCATGAGGTTCGGGATCGAAAGATTGCCCGGGGGAAAGCGAAGGCACGGCAGTCCGGTCCCTCGAAAATTGCCAAGGGAAAAGGGGAGGAAAACGAGCCGAGATCTGCCTTTGAACTCCTGTTCGGGGAGCAAAGGGATAGCCTTGTTTGGAAAGGCGGCGCCCATTTATTTTGCTGTAGGGGTCGTCAAGGATCTCGCCTAACTCGCGCTCGCACAAGGGCTCCCAAACAGGCGGGTGAAGCTACATTTTGCCACCAACCCCAAATTTTAGCTGCAAACGAACAAATTCACCGAAGCTTGGAAGGGACCTGAGCTCAAATTGTTTACCCCGCGGTCGGTGAGCTCGTCAATGGTGGCACATGATTCAAAACAACCCTGTCACTGAAAATGCCCTCTGTTTTCGCCGACTGGCAACAAATACTACTTCCGAGGCAGCTACCTAATCTGGTGTTGGCACTCCTCAGACGCTTCCCCCATTTCAAAAGCCAACAACTACCAGTTCAAGTTGCCAAAGCTGCTGCCAATGTTTTTGCCAAGGCATGCCAATAATTAACATGTATAGTTTTAAGGGTTGCCCTTTCGTCATGAAAAATTGGCAAACGTCTCAAAGGATCCCCCATTCACAATTGTTCCCCCAATAAGACAAACCCAGGATTCCTGGCAATGTCCAATAGTGGTTTCATAAACAACACAACCTCTTTCTTTCCTGCTTTCCTATTCCAGTCGCCAAACAAGCGCCCAAACAGGAACAAATGGTTACGTTCCAGATCGGAATTGAGGGGCTCCCTTCTTTCAGGAGCCGAAGTTGTTGTCTTTCTTAGAGGTCTGATTGCATGAAGCCTCGGACCTTTCTTCCATGGGCTTTTCGAGTGCCTGAAGAAGCACCTCATACAAATGCTGACACCAACTCCCAAACTGGCGTCTCTCCTTCTGAATGTTCTTTGGACCCCCCAAATGGGGGGTTCATCCTGTTCGATGCTTCTTTCAAACCACCTCAGACATGTTGCATCCTCCAGGGGGGAAAAAAAATCACACAAAAAAGAAGCCCGGGCTTCCCACTTTTGCCGGCGAGCGATCTGAAGGCAAACGACTCTAACTCATGAACCCCCAGGACAAACTCAGTAAAGACGCCCAACACGTGGCCGGTCGCAGTCGACTGGTGCCGGAGTTCCCAATGCGAAATATCAGCGTCGGCTTGGGGCCCAACAAACGGCTGCCTTGTTTCCAGTTGTTTCCTCCACAATCAGTTTTGGCAGATGGGAGCTTTGCAGAAGAAGTCCTAGCCACGTAGGTGTTTTATAATGGGACCACTAGAAATTGGCGTGGGTACTTCTCCCTCCATCCAAAAGAAGGGCCAAATGAGCTGCATCCCGAAAGGGCATCCAACTGCATTTCGCTTGAAATGCCCGCCGCTTCCGCACCTCTCATCCTCCGGCCGCACTGGCCGGTGCCCTGCGTGGAAGCCGCAAGCCCAGCCGCCCGAGCCCGGGGGAATAAAGGTCCCTGTGTTTTGAGAGGGCTTTACGGCTTGCGAACTCTGCCTGCGCCAGCCTTTTGCAGTTGGAAGGGAGCGGGGGGTGCTTGATTCCAGTCCGCTGGTCACTCCACCCTCGTGGCTCAAGCCTTGCTATGCAGCACATGGAGTAACAAGCTTTGGCTCTGGGAAGGGATGTCGGCGCGTTGGGCTGATCTCTTTCGAGGAATCGCGTCCTTGTAGTGTATTCAGGGTACCCCATGTTGGGCCTCTAGGGACACCGAAGGGACAGCTTTGGCTGCTTTGAGGATGCATCGTTTGGTAAACAAACAGAAAGCTCAAAAACCCTGGGGCACCTTGGACCCGCTGTTCCTACAGGGCGCGCGATTGCTGCGGTACCCTGCCACACATTCCGGCGCATACCTTCATAGGATCCAACCGCCATTCCCAAGACCCTACAAAGCCTCTTTGAAGAAACCACGTGCTGTGGGACCCCATAAAATCAATTTCCGACTTCCCGACGTGCCGCTATTTTCCGAGGTCAATTGGCAAGCTGAGCAAAAGCTTTGTACACTATGCTGGAACAGCGTTGCGAGTGGAAGTCGGCGATGTCAACGCGGCCAAAACCTGTGTGGTGTCCCCGTTGTGAGCGGAAACCCAGGCCAAGATTCGCCATGCGAAAGGTGCTAAACAAACCCAGACACAAAATGGCCCATAGCAATCTTGGGTGATCAGTCGCACAAAGCTCAGCCAAGTATCAACATGTCTAAACACTTGTTGGAACTACCTCCTTTCCACCTAGCCATGGAAACCAGACGAAAATGGGCCTTTTGGGATCCGGGTTCCCTGGCAACCCCACGGGAGGGTACCCCCCAAAAGGTGGTTTTGAACCCTGAAATCCCCGGGACCAACGGATGCCGAGACTTCGACTCCGGGCATCGCAGCGAAAGCTTTCTCCGCACAGTTTGGGTCTGTCAACACTTGCAGACATGCGGGGAGGGGGGGGCGGTGAGAGCAGCTTCCATTTGTTTCCCTTTCAAACATCATCAAAAAACGGGTAGCCTCAAGAAGAGGACACCCATAGGGACCCTTCTTCTGCAGAAGGAAAACAATGTCTACCCAAATCCCCGGAAGCAGCAGCAGCAGCACCGGGGACATCAGTCCCTGCTGAAAAAGCAAACATCGAGAAGATGCCTGTGCCAAATACAGCATGATACAGCCACGGTAGGGGACCGAGGCATCGCCGCTCGAGGGAATGGTCGGTCCTCTGGTGGCACCACAGGAGCTATGTTAGTGGGAGGGAGGGTCACCGTGAAACCAGGACGTCGTCTTGGTCTTACATGTTTGTTTGTCTCCCATACATCACCCATATCAGGCCTCGCGTGGTCTCAAACTGTCTCACCCGAACGCAAGATCCCTTGATGCAAGGTGAGGGAAAAAGTAGGTGTGGGCGTGGCAGATTTCAGCCCGTGTTGTGCTTTGGGGGCGCATCGACATCTGAGCAAGTTCATCCGCTGCAAGTCTATATGTGGAATCGGTGACCTGAACCTCAACAATTCATGGAAGGGTCTCGTCTCAAAATGGCGAAGCCCACAACATGCGCGGCTTCCCCTTTGACTTCCATGTAACCCCAAAACGTGTACCGTCCAACAAACAGCCGCCCAACTAGTAAATTCCCTCAGACCCGAACTGACCGGCTGTGCTCTCGCCACTTTAGAGGCGTCCGCCTGATTCGGACCCAAAAAAACCGCCGGTGCCAACACTGCAGCTGGCTGCTGGAGGGCGCCCTTTGGCAGAAGCAGAGGTTAACGGCAGATGGGAGTGTCTTTTTTAAGGGTAGCCCTCTTTTTGTGGTTTTAAGGGAAAACCAAAAGGAACATGCGGGTTCTTACAAAAAACACACCCAAATAGAACCCCGATTTTTATATACACGAAAGGGATCCCACTTGCGCCCTCAGTCGAAGGTTCGGGGGTTGGTTCCAAACAATGGCAAACCCCTCCAGCTAGCACTAAAGTTCCATTCGGCACTGGCGAATTCCGGGGCGGCGGAGATTCCGACATGCATTTCTAAGACTAGAGGCACATACCCCTTTACCCTTGCTTGCCCAGTAACCAGCAACCTAAGCATACAAAGCATACAACTTCTGTAGGGTCATGGAAACAGCTCTAAACAACAGCAAGCCTTTGAAGAAGCCATTTCTCCAAGGCTATGACCGGGGTATGTACAAACCTAAGGCATTGGCAGCAGACTGTCTCGCCTCAGTGCGCCGTGCGCCAGAAGTGGACAGACCTCAGGGGGACCTTACGTTAGTCTTCCAAGTTTGAGTGTGCACTTCTATGACTCTGCAAAAAAGGGTACCATAGTTCACCAACCTGGATTGAGATTTCCCCAGTGGACGCGAGCGGGTTTAGATGCTATGGCAAAGATTGTCTTCGGATTGGAAATTGACCCATGTTGCTGATCCAACAGGTAACTATACTGATTTAGAGTCAAAGGAGTCATTGCACACCAGTGACGAGTGATTGGGGGACCATTAAGGCTTGTTGGAGAAACAATTTAAAAATAACAAAGGGGAACCAGGTGAGGGGAATTGTGACTACAATCTGTCTGACCTGAACGCGAATCCCATAGCCAGCGGAGGGAAGAAGGAAACCTTGTGTGCGGTTCCATGTTTCTTTTCGTTCTTTGTTTTTCTTTCTTTCTTTCTTTTTTCGGGGGGTGGAGCGTTGAATCTGACTGCGGGCTGCAATCCCGACCCCAGGTCAGATCAAAATTGCTGGAAAGATCGTGTCCAACACGGAATGCTTCTCTAAAGTCAAAAGGCATCTGAATTCAATGGTCTTAACGTCAACCTTGGATGAATCAACCGATCAACCTGGTGGATTCTACAGTACCGGGGAGTGTCCCCGCTAGCAAAGCCTTCCCTCTCGAATGCACGCACCCCGCCCCTATTCATCCACCAGGGGTCCATTAATCAACTGGATTCCTACAGTTGTTTGAAGCCAAAGGTCCAAAAAGAGGGTTGTTTTGAATTGAACAGGTGGTTGCCAGCCAACCCTGCTGCGTATCCCAGAGGGAAAACCCGCCCAAACCTGTCGCGACTTTTCGAGGCATTCGGCTCGTCGCGCGCGCGCGCGCCGCGTGCCTCACCAGCCAAAGAGCGCCTTCAGCGACTCCCAAGCACCACGGGGGCTTCCGCCCTGAGCGCTCAGGGCCATCGGCCATCCCGAGGGGTCCCACCAAGAAACATCTGAGGAAAAACCTACGGCCCCCGGCTCCAAGACCGTTCACAGTTCTGATCCAAGGGGTAGACAGCCAAAGAGGTGAAGGTCAAATCATGCTGGAAAATCGTGCGCTTTCCGTGACATGGGGGCACTCCCACGGCTGACTTCATTTGCCTTGGTATCACAAGTGGCCAGAAAACGAAAAACATACACACATTTCCCACAACCAATGGGTGTCGAACTTCTGAAACCGCAACCGCGCCTCCGACGCGTCCGAGGCGTCGCCTTCCGAGGCATTGCCTTCCGAGGCGTCGCCTTCCGAGGCGTCGCCCTCGGCTTCCTGAGAGCACGTCGCCCCAGGCGCGTATGCGTCAAACTGGAAAAAGAACCCTCACAAATGTGGTTTCCTTGCCAAGACAGGCCCTGGTTGCAGCAAGCATCCCTTGCAATACTGCTTAGTGGTTGTTTCCCAGCCAGCAAAAAACTGAATGCCATCGTTTGGCGGGAATTCCCCAAGACCCACTTGCGTAAAGAGGCAACCTAAAACCGACCCACGGCTTGTCAGAACGCGTGTTTGCGTGTGTGTGTGTGTGTGTGTGTGTGTGTGTGTGTGTGTGTGTGTGTGTGTGTGTGTGTGTGTGTGTGTGTGTGTGTGTGTGTGTGTGTGTGTGTGTGTGTGTGTGTGTGTGTGTGTGTGTGTGTGTGTGTGTGTGTGTGTGTGTGTGTGTGTGTGTGTGTGTGTGTGTGTGTGTGTGTGTGTGTGTGTGTGTGTGTGTGTGTGTGTGTGTGTGTGTGTGTGTGTTGTGTGTGTGTGTGTGTGTGTGTGTGTGTGTGTGTGTGTGTGTGTGTGTGTGTGTGTGTGTGTGTGTGTGTGTGTGTGTGTGTGTGTGTGTGTGTGTGTGTGTGTGTGTGTGTGTGTGTGTGTGTGTGTGTGTGTGTGTGTGTGTGTGTGTGTGTGTGTGTGTGTGTGTGTGTGTGTGTGTGTGTGTGTGTGTGTGTGTGTGTGTGTGTGTGTGTGTGTGTGTGTGTGTGTGTGTGTGTGTGTGTGTGTGTGTGTGTGTGTGTGTGTGTGTGTGTGTGTGTGTGTGTGTGTGTGTGTGTGTGTGTGTGTGTGTGTGTGTGTGTGTGTGTGTGTGTGTGTGTGTGTGTGTGTGTGTGTGTGTGTGTGTGTGTGTGTGTGTGTGTGTGTGTGTGTGTGTGTGTGTGTGTGTGTGTGTGTGTGTGTGTGTGTGTGTGTGTGTGAGCGCGCGTGTGCGTGTGTGCGCTTACGCGCGCTGTGCGTGTGCGTGCGCGTGCGCATGTGCGCATGTGCGCATGTGCGCATGTGCGCATGTGCGCATGTGCGCATGTGCGCATGTGCGCGTGTGCGCATGTGCGCATGCGCGCATGCGCGCGTGTGCGCGCATGTGCGTGTGCGTGTACGTGTGCGTGCGCGTCTGTGTGCGTGCGCGTGTGCGTGTGCGTGTGCGTGCGCGTGTGCGTGCGCGTGCGCGTGTGCGTGTGCGTGTGCGTGTGCGTGTGCGCGTGCGCGTGCGCGTGCGCGTGCGCGTGCGCGTGCGCGTGCGCGCGCGCGCACGCGTGCGGGTGCGGGTGCGGGTGCGGGTGCGGGCGCGGATGCGGGTGCGGGTGCGGATGGGTGTGTGTGTGTGTGTGTTTGTGTGTGTGTCTGTGTCTGAGTCTGTGTCTGTGTCTGTGTGTGTGTCTGTGTGTGTGTCTATGCGTGTGCGTGTGCGTGCGCGCGTGCGCGCGGGCGGGCGGGCGGGCGAGCGGGCGTGCGTGCGTGCGAACGTGCGTGCGAGTGCGCGCGCGCGGGCAGGCGGGCGGGCGGGCGTGTGCGTGCGTGCCTGCGCGCCTGCGTGGGTGGGGGTGTGTGTGTGTGTGTCTTGTGTGTGTGTGTGTGTCTCTGTGTGTGTGTGCGTGTGTGTGTGTGTGTGCGTGTGGTGTGTGTGTGTGTGTGCGTGTGCGTGTGCCTGTGCCTGTGCATGTGTGTGTGTGCGTGCGTGCGTGCGCACGTGTGTGCGATGTGCGTGTGTGTGCGAGCGTGCGTGCGTGCGTGTGCGCGTGTGTGCATGTGTGCATGTGTGTGTGTATATGTTCGTGCGTGCAGGCGTGCGTGCATGTGTGTGTGTGTGTGTTTGTGCGTTTGTGCGTGTGTGAGCGTGTGTGCGTGTGCGCGCGTGCGTGCGCGTGTGCGTGTGTCTGTGTGTGGGTGTGGGTGTGGGTGTGTGTGCGTGTGCGTGTGTGCATGTGTGTGTGTGTTTGCGCGTGGGTGCGTGTGCGTGTTTGTGTGTGTGTGTGTTTGTGTGCGTGTGTCTGTGTGTGTGAGTGCGTCTAAAATTGTGTGTGCGTGTGTGTGTGTGTGTGCGTGTGTGTGCGTGTGCTTGTGTGGGACTGTGTGTGTGCGTGTGTGTGTGTGTGTGTGCGTTTGTGTGCGTGCGTGCGTGCGTTCGCGCGTGCCTGAGTGCGTGCGTTCGCGCGTGCCTGCGTGCGTGCGTGCGTGGGTGTCTGTGCGTGTGTGTGTGTGTGTGTGTGTGCATGCTTGTGAGTTATTGTTTTTGTGTGTGTGTGTGTGCATGTGTGTGCGTGTGTGCGTGCGTGCGTGCGTGCGTGTGTGCGTGTGCGTGTGCGTGTGCGTGTGCGTGTGCGTGTGCGTGTGCGTGTGCGTGTGCGTGTGCGTGTGTGTGTGTGTGCGCGTGTGCGTGTGCGTGTGCGTGTGCGTGTGCGTGTGCGTGTGCGCGTGCGTGCGTGCGTGCGTGGGTGGGTGGGTGGGTGGGTGGGTGGGTGGGTGGGTGTGTGTGTGTGTGCGTGTGCGCGTGCGTGCATGCATGCGAGTGTGTGGGTGTGTGGGTGTGTGCGTGCGTGCGTGCATGCGTGCGTGGCTGGTTGTGTGTGTGTGTGTGTGTGTGCGTGTGTGTGTGTGTGTGCGTGTGTGCACGTGTGAGCGCATGTGTGTGTGTGGGTGTGTGTGTGTGTGTGTTTGTGTGGTACGTGTGCGTGCGTGCGTGCGTGCGTTCGCGCGTGCCTGCGTGCGTGCCTGTGTGGGCGTCTGCATGTGTGTGTGTGTGTATATGCGTGCGTGCGTGTGTATGTTTTGTGTGTGTGTGTATGCGTGCGTGCGTGTGTATGTTTTGTGTGTGTGTGCGTGCGTGCGTGCGTGCGTGCGTGCGTGTGTGTGTGTGTGTGTGCTTTTGTGCGTGCGCGTGTGTGTTTGTGTGTGTCTGTGTGTGTGTGTGTGTGCGTGTGTGTGTGTGTGTGCGCGCGTGTGCGTGTGTTGTGTGCGTGCGTGCGTGCGCGTGCGCGTGTGCGCGTGCGTAAGTGCATGTGCGCGTGGCTGGGTGTGTGTGTGTGTGTGTCTGCGTCTGTCTCCGCGTAAGTACGCGTGCGTGCGTGCGTGTCTGTGTGTGTGTGTGTGGGTGTGTGCGTGAGCCCGCGTGTGAGCGTGTGTGTGCGCGCGTGTGAGCGTGTCTGCGTGTGCGTGTGCACGTGCGCGTGCGCGCTCGTGCGTGCGTGCGTGCGTGCCTGCGTGCGTGCGTGCGTGCGTGCGTGCGTGCGTGGGTGGGTGGGTGGGTGGGTGGGGGTGTGTGTGTGTGTGTATTTTGTGTATGTGTGTGTGGGTGGGTGCGTGCGTGCGTGTGTGCGTGCGTGCGTGCGTGCGTGCGTGTGCGTGTGCATCTGTGTCTGCATGCGCGTGCGTCTGTGTGTCTGTGCGTGTGCGCGCGTGCTGTTTGTGTTCATCTGTGTCTGTCTGCGCGTACGTCCGTCTGTGTGTGTGTGTGCACACGTGCGCGTGCGCGTCCGCGTGCGCGGGCGCGCAAGCGCGGGCGCGCGCGGCGCGCGGGCGCGCGGGCGGGCGCGGGCGCGTGCCCATGCGCGTGCCCGTGCGCGGGCGCGCCAGCGCGGGCGCGCGGGCGCGAGCGCGGGCGCAGGCCCGGGCGCGGGCGCGGGCGCGGGCGCGGGCGCGGGCGCGTGTGTGTGTGTGTGCGTGTGTGCGTGTGTGCGTGTGTGCGTGTGTGCGTGTGTGCGTGTGTGCGTGTGTGCGTGTGTGCGTGTGTGCGTGTGTGCGTGTGTGCGTGTGTGCGTGTGTGCATGTGCGCGTGTGCGCGTGTGCGCGTGTGCGCGTGTGCGCGTGTGCGCGTGTGCGCGTGTGCGCATGTGCGCGTGTGCGCGTGTGCGCGTGTGCGCGCGCGCGCGTGCGCGCGCGTGTGCGCGTGTGCGCGTGCGCGTGCGCGGCGGCGCGTGCGCCTGCGCCTGCGCCTGTGCGCGTGCGCGTGCGCGTGCGCGTGCGCGTGCGCGTGCGCGTGCGCGTGCGCGTGCGGGTGCGGGCGCGGGTGCGGGTGCGGGTGCGGGTGCGGGTGCGGGTGCGGGTGCGGGTGTGGGTGTGTGTGGGTGGGTGGGTGGGTGGGTGTGGGTGGGTGGGTGTGTGTGTGTGGGTGTGTGGGTGTGTGGGTGTGTGTGTGTGTGCGCGCGCGCGTGCGTGCGCGCGTGCGCGTGCGCGCGCGGGCGCCTGTGCGTGTCTGCGCGTGTGCGGGTGTGCGCCTGTGCGCGTGCGCGCCTGTGTGCGCCTGTGCGGGTGCGGGCGCGGGTGCGGGCGTGGATGGGGGTGGGTGTGGGTGTGGGTGTGGGTGTGGGTGTGGGTGTGGGTGTGTGGGTGCGTGTGTGTGGGTGTGTGCGTGTGCGCGAGGGCGACGTGCGTGTGCGTGTACACATGATCCGTATTGCCAAGAGGAAACTCACATGGTAGGGTTGAGATGTCAAGTAGTACCAGTTGCGACGCAAACAACCTGCTTCATTTGAATTGGCGGGAAGAAAGAAAGGCAAGACTTGCATGGTAACAGCGGCCATGAGATCCCCTGCTCTCTGGGCGATGGTTGCAAAAGGTTGCTTCATTCCAGTTGTGCGCTTGCAAATACATGGCGAAGCTGCAAAACTCCGCCATGTAGACTCCATTGTTCACGAGGGCATTCAACGAAATCAACAAAGCTCCCCTTGACCCAAGACCCCTTCCCTGAAGTCTCCTGGCTCCCGGCGTCCGATTCCTCGCCTAGGCACGAAAGGCGCCCATAGAAACACGCTCCCAAAGACAACATGGAACCTGAAAGCGAGTCCCTGGAAAATCGTCCAGGGAGATGTCTTTCACCAGGGCGTACCAGGGTTGAAAAAGTATGGTGGGGAGACCACAACCGGACTGGCGTGCATACCTTTCTGCGGCAAAAGAGCTTGACGGGAACCCAGGTCAAACAAAATGTCTGGATGGAATCATTCACTTTTGGGAAAATGAGTCCTTATAAACTGCAAGGCTTATAAATGCAGGATCGACATCAAGTCTCATTCCAGCGTGCATACCGGCAGGTTCTTGCCCGCATCTCGATTTGAGTTTCCTCCCTACGAAAGCAAGCCTTTCGCCTGTATCATTTTTTTCCCCAAAGGGAGCATGCCTCCCTGTGGCAGAGTGGACCCCTAGCCCCCCGGTTGTCAAGAAAAGGACGACGTCTTGGTTCTCCAGATCCGCCTCATTGGACTCTCCCGCCTGCGCTGTCCTCGCTGCCCGCGCTGCCCTCACTGCCCTCACTGCCCTCGCTGTCACTATCTTCGCCGCTGGCGTCCTGGAAAGCGGCGGCTCAGCTCGTTTCAGAAGAACCCCCCTCTCCCCCAACTGGTGTCCTCCAAAAAGGCCTCAAGTTACAGGGCCACAAGCTATGGAGAACCAAGAGGCGAAGCGGGAGGTTGGATCCTGCCCGTTCTGACAACTACTTCCCGGCAGTTTGGGTTGGTGACAAGGGGGGAAAGGCGAGCCTGAGGCCCTTGAAGTGGTGAGATCCGAAAACTACCACCTGAAGCGCAAACTTTGGGGGCCTGCCCAGATTGGCATATGCTACAGAAAGGCAACGATGGTCTGCAAATCGCGAGAGCGCCGCGTGAGAAGGATCTGCAAAAGGGTGACCTTCTCACCGATTTTGACATTTCCTCAAGGACCATTTTGGGTATACGTCCAACCCGCAGGTTTAGCCCAAGATTGACCTCGGAATTCATCCGGATGAACAAAGGACGTTTTCCCCAAGAACTGTGGAGCAGACGTGCTCTCCTGCGAGACATCCAGCTCGCCCGCCTGGCAAACTGGGGCCGATTGAGAGAGCTGGAAGTTGGGGCAAGCTCACAGAATTACAACGGAGAGGCTCCGAACCTGGAAGCTGGGCCAAAAGGCACAAATCCAGAGAGGCGTTTCTGTGAAATCAAACCCTAGGCATCTGCTTGTTTCTCCATGCAACATAGCCACCAAAAGGGGCTCAAAAATGAGAACGCCTCGTTGCATCCTGTCACATGGTTTGACATGGGAAATACATGGCGATGAAACATAGCTTCTGGTTTGCCTTTGGGGGCCACCCTCCTACCTTTTAATTGTCGTGCGAACCAAGTTACCTGGACTTGGTGTTTGAACTGGAGAAAGCTGTGAATAGATTCCAATTTGGGGGACGGTTCCCGGACGTTCTCATGGATGTCCAAGCAACCAGACCCGAAAGGCCTCTTTAAGGTCAAACCTGCAAGGCTTGAGGGAAAAGACCCCAAGTTCTCAAATTTTGATATGGCTCCCAAATGGGCCACGGACCTTTGTCCACATATGATTCAAACGAGAGAGAACCTCGGGGAACAGAAGGGACAGGCTGGCCCCCTTTCAAAGAGCAAGGCAGGTGTCTCACTGACCCCACAAGCCCCACAAGCCGGCACACTGGCTAACCCTCTGATGGACACTTACACAGGCCAAAGGAATCGAGGCTGGCACTGACGAAGTTTTCCCCAGCAACAAACAAATCGGCCTCCGCAACTTCAGCACACACCCTTGTCGCTCCTTGGAGGGGACCTCCAGTCTCTCCATTAAAACCCCCCAAAAAGAACAACTCAACCCCCAAACTCAACCCGAAAGCCCCAAGCTCCCACCTCTGCCAGCACCGGGGGCGGTGCTGTGGGCGGTGCCACCGCCACCAGCGCCATGGGCGGCGCTACTGGCGCCACCGGCGCCAGCATCGTGGGCGGCGCCACCGATGCCACCGGCACCACCGGCAGCACTGGCGCCGCTGGCGCTGAGGCCGCCGGCTGTGCAATGGGCTGGATGCCTCAAAGCAAAGGGCGCTTGGCACTTCCGCCCACAGAAGCATATTATTATGTTTCAAAAAATGAAGTGTTGAGACATAGGTTTGGGAGAAAGACAAACCTGGGGAAAGCCAAATGGCCGCCTGGAGTCTCCATGACCCTAAAAGGTGAAGAAAAGGCTCGCAGAGTTCCTTACGCTTGAAGGGCCATGGAAACAGAGAGTGACCCAACCACAATCTGTTGAACACTGGAGCAACTGCTGCAAGTGAAACATGTGTTTTCCGCAACCTGAGTCGAAAGACAAATCCAAAAAAGGGCTCAGGCACACGGCCAGATCGCAAACCCTCGCCCAGGAGCAGATAGTAAGCCTTTTGACAGTTTCCCAAGTTAGGGTAGTGTTGAAAGCGAGATCAAAAGTACTATTTCAGGAACAACCAAAATGGGCGTACGCTTTTTTGGAGGGTGCTCTTTTGGGTGGTTCAAAGGGAAACTGGCAGGAAAGCCGGAGCCCTTTGAAGCCTTTGCAGGGAGGAAGGTAAGGTACTCCCCCCAAAGAGGATTTGCAACTCCAATCAACCGCGTTCAATGCAGGGTTATCGGTCAGCAGCAATTGGAACCAGCGCAACACTGCGTTCGCTTTGCTTGTCTTCACTTCTCGGCTGGCTCCGTATTGCTCTGGTCGCTGTTCGGAGCCTTTGTCCTTCTCCACCGCTGAGAACTGTGCGCCCCGCTCTGCAAACATGCAAAAGATTGTCCGTGTCTTGGCTGGCCCCTTGACGACTGAATCGTCCCTTATGGACACTTTGCGATTCATGTTCTGCATAAGTCGAGGGCTTGCGCCAATTCATCCTGTCTTGGACACTGGCATTTTGCCCCACAGCTACACCTGCAAAAACCGCCGCCGAGGGTTTTGTGCCCGGCCAACAAGCCCTCCCCGGCCTGCGATGGTCGCAAGCGCCGCCACCCCGGCAGACGCCTTGGCTAGTTCCCCTTACGCGTCGTGGGTTCCCGCGCGTTTTCTGAAACCGGCGTTTTTCAGCAGGAAATACTGCGAGGAGGAGGAAAAAAGCGCGGTCATCTTCATGAAAACCAAGGGACCATGTTTGTTTGTGTTTCTTCGAAACTGGCAAATGGTGATCTTTGCCGCAAAACATATATTCACCCAACGCTCCTTTCAACGGTCGGAATCCCAGGTTGCTGAGAGAAACACTCAGCCTCCCAGCCGTCACTGCGAGGGCGTCGAGGCCGGTGGCTGGCACTTGCTCCTTGACAAGTTGGATACGTTGGATGCTTCTACCCCGTTTGCCCCAAATTCCAGATGTGGGATTACGATGGTTATAGCAATCCAAATGCGCTGGCTACCCCAAATTCCTGCTTCCAGATGTGTACCTTTGGATTTGCTGCAAATGCCCCCACGCCTAAGCTTTGGCATTCTACTCTTTCAACATCCAGAAGAACCGTACCGCGGGGCATCGAGACGCAGGTTGCCACGCGAAAAGGGTGGGGCGCCATTCAAGAGTAATGCTGTCATCTGCAAAGCCGATAAGAAAACAGGGGTTCCTTTTCGTCTGGTGGAAATGGTACACCACAGTGAAAGCAAATAGCGCATCTACCTGTTGGTAAGTTGAGTTCCGGGCGTGTTTGAGTACGTTTGCTGCGGTGGGCATGGAGCAACCCCCTGGGCCAAACAAATGAAATTGCGCCCCACCAGCAGGTGTGTGGGCCCCATGCCCCGTTATTTTGGCACCTGCAAGAGGTGATCCCAATAAAGCTGAGAGTGAAAAGAACCATAGGAACAAACATTCTACAAAAGAAATAGAAGATCGACACGGTGAATTAGACATGGCTGTGTTTTGGACTCCATGCGTGAATCGCGCAAATGACGCCTTCTGGGACGTGTGATCCCTCAGAAGCACCGAACAAGCCGCAGGGGAAGGACCCATGTTCCCTTGCTAAAATGAATGTGACCTGGCAGCCCCGAAAGCAGTGCGTTGCCAACGAGTCTGTCTCAATGTGGAGTCAAGCGTGGCGTCCCTTCGGAACAAGCCAGTATCCAAGACAAGGCACACTCATAAGGTGGATGGACGAAATCCTGCACCACCCAACAAACCCTAGAATGATATCAATCCCCTGCAAATACTAACAAACAATGGCTTCCCATGGTAAGGTGCCAGGGAGCAGTACTTCCAAAAGGGGCCGAACCAAAGTGGGACCTGTTTCCACGAGAAAAACAAATCGCTCCATGAGCGCAGCGAAGCGCTGCGGGCGGAACCTTGGAGAAGCTCCCGTGAATCTGCCGTGCTCAATCCGTCGGCTGGAAATCACGAGGACCCTCCATGGAAATCTCGGCATCCCCTTGGTTCTTAGGGCTACCCAGGGCCATACGTTGATGTCCTGATGTCCGTTTACCCAAGTAAAAGCGCCTTTCAGTGGCTGCACTTCCTCCCACCTTGGTTAATGTCTGCTTTTTGGGCGCTCCGTTTGTGAATCTAGCTCCACAGGCCCAAATCAGAACCTTCCAACGCTCCTCGAAGTGGGGTGGGGGGGCCGTTGAACCACCATTCAGAGGGCAATGCTGAGGATTTTCATCCCTGAGAGGCCGGGGTTTGAGGTCAACAAATGGCTTGAGAGCTCTATGGCGAAAAGGCATACAAGAGTCTACCCCAAACCCTGTGAATTCAAAGTTAGCGCCGCACTGAGGGCTTGGACTGTCTTCGAAACAAGCTTCAGCTGCCCAGGATTTTGATTGTGGCTCACCTTAAGGGGCGGGACCATTTGGAGGGGGCGAAGCATCGCCTTCAGAAAACACAAGCGCCATCGCCTTCTCCGCAAGCAAGCCCCCGACAATCCCAAGGGGCCAAAACGTTTTGGTGTCGTGTCTCTGAAAGGTGCAACCAGAAGGGGTCTATCAATTGGACGCATGCTCTTTAGTTCTTCAGCAATTGCAGGGGTTTGACTCTGTGTGGCCAGCTCGGAGGCTCGGGCCAACTGCGCCTCATCAAACCCAAAACGAAGAAGAAAACACACCCTTCAAAGGGAAAATCCAGCTTGGTGCAAACAGAAACAAGGAAGTGTGGACTTCCGGTATATTCTTGAGGAAAGCCGCCCGACATGTCGATCTATTCAAGGCTTGGTCGGTCCTGTTGTAGGAGAAGGGTTTATGCCGTGAGATCAACGCCCGCAGAAGCCAGGGAAGCAATTAATTCTCCAAACTTGCACAAAACGCAGACTTAATTTAAGGTAAGGTTCCACGAGGGCTTTACCAGGGTTCCACCAGTGTTCCACGAGGGTTCCACGAGGTTCTGCGAGGGCTGCGGGGTGGTGCGAGCACTAAATAGAACACCCTCAGCATTATTTTCAGCACCCTCACACCAACATGCTTAGCATCACCAGCAGGTTGTGGCTCAGGGCAGGGGGGGTTGATGATTGGGTGAGTGATGATTGAATTAGGTGCCAAAAATCTAAAAAGCGCTGTTGTTGTTTCTTTTTATGGGTGGTTCCCTTGGTTACCTAAGGTGAGGGAAATGGAACTGCGAACTCTCGGACCAGTCGCCCGTCCGCTTGAGGCGGGCGCCGGCGCAGGTTCGCCAAAAGCGGGTCGCTGCGGGCGTCCCCCAGCTGGCACCCAGCAGCGAGTGCAGACCTGAGCTTCAAGATGTTTCCACCGAAAGTGGAAACGAAGCTCTAAGGGAACCGAGAAAAAAAAAGGACAAGGGGAAACCCTCAAAAGGAAATCGTGAAGGCAAAACCAAGAGGATGTCAATTCAAAAGGAAACCAAAACGCCTCGCGGGAATCACGCCCAAACCTGCTGCAGGCCTTTTGGCGTGACATGTGATTTCCGGGCTTGGTTCCATCCACAGTTGCTTCCCTGAGTCCGCAAAACCCTCCTGCGGGTCCTGAGATCTAGTTCCAGTTGCAATTTGGAGACTTCATATGCGACATGGCCTGAAAGTTACGACACAGGACCTCGTTTTTTTTTTTTTCCGCTAGACACTGTCTCAAAAAGGGGCCTGGGGTGCAAAGTGGTCGATCCCTATCACTTCGCCCTTGGTTTCCAGAGAGTCGCAACTGCCCAACATGATTTTCCGAGCTGTCCTGTTGTCCTGTCTGGGAATGTAAAAGTTGTGTGGGTTGAGCAAACCCAAACAGCCAACCCGAGTTGTCACAGGGCTCCGGCTCCAGCATCGCCATACCCAAGTCCAGGTGCTCCTCGGCAGGCGGGCCAAGCACCGAGGCTGAACCACCCAAGCCACCGGGACTGAACAAGAAATCCTTCCTTACTCTATGAAATCCGTTCGGCTTCACTTCAAACCCGCAGAAAAGTACCCACCAGCGACCCAGTGAAGTGATTGCTTCTGGCCCTCCGGAAAAATGGGCCTGTTTTCCATTCGGCGCCTCCACTGGGGCAAGCGACCGCGGCGGCGCCAAAGCGGCTTTCGAGAGAGCACGCGCCATGCCGCGGAAGGCGTCGCCTGTTCGGTCCAGGTCTGGAGGGAGGTGGTTCTAATTTTGGTTGCTTGGAACACAAAGAATTGGTAACCCGTTCCGTTTGGGTTCGCTTGGAAAAGGAAACCTATCATTTTGGTGGTGGTCCACGTAAAATCTGGCGAAAGGATCAATTTGGTGCTGACAACTTAGGTGGATATCCGCAGGAAGTGCACGCGTGCTGGCAAGCCGCTCGCAGGTTTGCTTTGCAACCAAAAGTTCGATATCTACCCACCCACCCCACCCCTCGCCTCCGCCAAAGAAAAAAACAACTGAAGGTCCAGCGTGTCCCAAAAAAAAGCTTAACACCACCCCAAAAGGAGAAACCCCCCAAAGCCAAGTGTGAAAATGTCTCTCCACTACTGGGGTCAAAGTTTGAGACACAGGAGCGGTTGAGCTGATGGAGCAAGTGCATGCATGCTTCCTGTTGCTGGGAATTCTGCGGTGACTTTCGGCTGGGAATAGGGCGGATAGGGCGTTCCAAATGGAACAGCCTTTGTGGCTCTGGCATGGGAGAACCCAAGGCGCACCAGACCTTTAGCTTTGTACTTTCTTCTTCTCCTTCTTGTTCTGTTTCTGTTTGGGGGGGGAGGTGGAGCGTTGATTTTGATTGCGTGGTCAAAACGAAATTGGTGGAGAAACATATATCCAATACGGTATTGCTTCATCAGATCGCGCTAAAATCAAAAGACATCTGAATTCAATGAAGCCAACAAGTCGCAAATGGAAGGAGGGAAGTTGCCTGGACTGGGACGGGATTGGATGGAAGGATTCCTCCGTGCTGACATTGCCTTTGGGTTCAAGCGTGCATGGAACAAAGGCCGTTTTATGTCCCACCCAATATGCCGTTCAAGGGAAATCCCTTTGAAGTACTCATGCAAAAAGTCAGCTCCGACTCCCGCTCAGACTGCCCGGATCAAAAGAGCCCTCGCGCCCAACAGGATCTGTTCTTTTGGCAAGCCCTTGGAAATTCAGCTGGCCCCAGTGGTGCCTACATTTTTTCATAACAGTCTTGGGCCAGGTCCAACTGCAACTGGAGAACCCGTGAGAACCCGTGAAAACCCCTAGCTGATTCCCCATTCGGCGAGGGCCCTTAACCACCTCAGCGGCGAGGAACTGCCCGACCTGACTTGTAGTCGTAGAGGCGCTGGTGCTGGCTGTTGGCTTCGCAATACTTGAGGTATGCCTGGCCGGGCGTAACGGTCCTTCGGATTTCTCGTGGGCATGGTCATGAACACCTAGAGGCAGGTGTTGGCCACTGGAACCATGGTGTGATCAGGACGGATTCCTTTTGCTCATGCCCCCGGCATGGGCAATTGGCAAAGGCCAGAAACGGGCACCGGAAAGGGCGCCCTAAGCAACGTCACCCGCCTTGCCCCATTTGCAAGATGTGGGTTACGGAATTCCATACCCTTGGCGGGTCCTGAACAAAAATCTAATCCGCCGACCTTGTCTCCTGAAAGGGGGAGGCGCACGGGAAGGGTGGTGATAAGCATGCACCTCGTGCTCTTGGACATAGGATGCAGATGTGACGTTGGTAAGGGGTGCTACGGTGATCATACTGGGATGATATGATACTACTTGGATGCGAAATGATGGCTATCATCATCATGGTGGTCATTGGTATCATCGGATGCTATCATCAGCGCTTACTCTTCTTATTTCTTATATGTACATTTCAAGTGTCCCGTTACGCTCTGTTGGTTATCATTGAGATCTCATCATCATCATCATTGTCATCGTCATCATCATCATCATCATCATCATCATCATCATCATCATCATCATCATCATCATCATCATCATCATCATTGTCATCGTCATCATCATCATCATCATCATCGTCATCGTCATTGTCATCATCATCTCTGATTTTATGCTTGTACATTCTTATATTTACATTTCAACTGTAGCGTTAGACACCGTTGGGGATGCAGGGGGTGCTATGATGATAGTTGTCGTCGTCATCATGGTGATCATCATTCTCATCATACCATACATCATCGTCATCACCACTCCTTTCTTTTCCTATAAATACATTTCAAATGTGGTGTGCTACGATGATAGTTATCATCGTCATCACTGGTGATAATCGTCATTACCATCATCATTGTTAGGCACCGTTGGGGATGCAGGGGGTGCTACGATGATAACTATCATCGTCATCATGGTGACCTCACTCCTTTTTTCTTTTTGTACATGTCAAAAGTGGCGCTAGAGAGCGTTGGAGATGCACGGGATGCTACTGAGAAAGGTATCATCGTCATCATAGGGATCATCGTCATCATAGGGATCATCACTATCATATCATACATCATAGTCAGCATCATCCCCTTCTTTTCTTACACAAACATTTCAAACGTGGTGTGAGGGAGCTGCAGGGGAGGCTATGATGGTATTATCATCATCAGTATTATCATCATAGTCGCCCTCACTCCTCTCTTGTCTTATATACATTTCAACAGTGGCGTTAGAGAGCACCCACCCATCCATCCATCCATCCTCCATCCATCCCCCATTCAGTCCATCCACCCATCCATCCATCCATCCATCCATCCATCCGCCCGTCCACCCACCCACCCACCCACCCACCCATCCATCCATCCATCCATCCATCCATCCGTCTATCCATCCATCCATCCATCCATCCATCCATCCATCCATCCAGCCCGCGTGGGACATGCGAGGCCGGCGCGCAAAGCAGAAAAACAAAAATCCACCCACAACTGCTCTGTGGCATTTTGCTATATTGGTGTATCTCGCAGCCTACACTCCCCGTAAGTGACGCCTCGATTGCCTTAGGCTGGGACGAGGCCCAGTGTGCTGGCTTTGTGCCGTTGTGGTCGCGCTGGTTGCCTTGGTTTGTAACTGCTGGGTGGCGGGCCTGCTGGGCCACACTTTACCTCCAAGTGGAGGCGATAACGTTTGCGGAGCCTCCAGAGAAGCTGGGAGGAATGACACCTTTGGCAGTGGCTCTGTGCTTCTCACCTAGCGCAGCAGCTTTCCCTCGCCCACTCACTCACTCACTAGCCTCACCTCACCTCACCTCACCTCTCCCACCCACTCAACATCAGCCAGTTCTATGCTTGGCTTTGTCTTTCTCAAAGTCAGTCCCCGGTTGCCGGAAAGATGGCCGACCAACCACCACTGGCAAACTAAACTGTGCATGATTGGTAATCATGAGCCCCACTTGCCAGTCCACTTTGAAGGATCCTGCACAAAGGACGCTTTATAACGAAGCCTTTATATCGCTCAGGCTAGTACTAGTAGTAGTAGTGCTAGCAGGACTGGTAGCCGCGCCAGATGATCAAGCTTTTCAACGTCATAACACGCGAAAATCGGGCGCGGTGGCCCCCTCTTGGCAGGTTTCATGGTGGTTTCGTGCGGCACGGCTTCCAAAAAAGAATGTTGGTTTTGACCCGAACGCATACAATCACTGCCTCTTGTCCAGGGTCGAAAAGGGACGCAAGCAGTGAGTCAAACATTGCAAAGCTGGTATTGAAGGAGTCTACCCGCCCCCAAACCCACTCATTTACGGTTGGGAGCATAAACTTCAATGATTCATGGAGCAAATCAGATGGTGTTGTTTCAAAATACACTGCCTTTCGGCCTCCTTGAAAACAAACCCCACAAAAAAAAGAAAGGAAAAAAGGCACCTCAAAAACAACACATGGATACCGAATCCGATCAAACGCCTGGTACGGCGCGTCCAGAAGAAGCAAGTCGCCCTCCCGCATGAAGCGATGGAAGGCATCCCGCTCGGCCTTCTCAGCCTTGCGAGCGCATTGCCTTCGTCCTTTTGTTTGCCAGTCGCTACAGGCTGCAGTGCGCTGCAGCCAACGATGAGAGGTCATCAAACGAAGGGATCCAATCACTGGTCTCTTGAAACATGTCCCGAAAAGGTAAAATGAGAGTCCTGAGAAGCTTGAATCTTGAATGCAGAAATGCGCTTCAGGATCAACACCCAGCAGGTTCTAAAACGGCCAACATGTTGTGCAATCTTAGACCCCAATATACTTCAAAGCGCCTTCAACCTGGTTAGCTGGCTTCGCCAAATGCCCAGAAAGAAAAGCTCTGAAACTTAGGGCCCTGAAAAAAGGGAGAAAAAATTACTCAAAAGTACCGCAAATGCCAGCCAATCTTCTTGAAAGGTGCACTTGTTTGTGTGTGTGTTTTTTGCTGCGATTGGCAAAAGACCCGAATGACAGGCATTGAACAAGACCGTGAGCCGGGGCTTTTAGCCACCCTAACATTGCACCATTCAAGCTCAACATGGCCATGAACCTGCGACGCTTGGTCCTTAAAACAACGGTACCTTTTTAGACCTTTGTCAACCCCGCCCTCAGCCCTCACACTCCGCGTCCCCCTCTTTTCTCCCTGCAGGCCGAAATGCGTTCATGGTCGTAATGCCAACCATCGGTGATTCTAGTGATCCACGAATGCTTGCAGCGCCGTTCTTCGAGGCGGACTCAAACCGCCGCTTGGACACGTTTGACCCCTTGTGATTCATCTGACCGGTGGCCCTGTAAAGAACCTGTCATCCACATGTTGCGCTTGCTCCAAACATGGGCTTAAGTTCGAATTCACCCACTCCCGGCACAAAAACACGACTTCGCCTCCCATTCTCAACACAAAAATCGGAAAATCGGAGTTCAGCTTATTTCCGGCCCTTCGACCAACCAAATCAGGAAGCCGAAGCTTGGACCCAGCACAGCACGGCGCGGGCACAGATGTTTCATATCTATGTATCTATGTATATATATATATAGATATTTCACAGGTCAATGTATATATATATGTGTGTATATATATATATATATGCTACCCCCCCCCCCCAGGTACCCAGGTTTGACCTTGGTTCAGATGTGCTTTGACCGCGGAAGCAGGCAGGAAGAACAGCTCAGATTTGCACACTGGGAGGCCAGAGGAGGAAAGTTTGCCTCAGTGAAGAAAGACGCCTTGGACGTGACCCATGCCCGTTTTCAGTAGCTCTTCTAGATAAAATTCAATTCACATAACTTCCCACACAAACCCATGCCTTCTTTCAAAGGCTCTTCCACAGATAATTCACATATCTTCCCACACAAACCATGCCTTGTTTCAATCATCCTCTCACCCAACACATGTCTTTTTACGTGTCTTCTTTCAATGAAACAAAGGCAGCATATGTGAAAGCCCTGTGTAGAATAAAGCCAGGCTATGGCTGGGACAGTTTGTGTGACATAAATGGTGGTTTTACATGATATTTACTGTCTTCTGCTGTACTTTTATGAATCACTGTAACCCTGACTCTTCCAAAAAGACTCACATATCATCTCACACAAAACATGTATTTTTCAATGACTCTTCTCTACAGAAAATTCACATATCCTCTCACCCAGAACATGTCTTCTTTCACAAAGGTTCACATATCCTCCCACCAAAACATGCCATTTTTCAAAGGCTCTTCCACAGATAATTCACATATCTTCCCACACAAACCATGCCTTCTTTCAAAGACTCTTCCACAGAGAAATCACACATCCTCTCACCCAACACATGTCTTTTTACATGTCTTCTTTCAAGGAAACAAAGTCAGCATATGTGAAAGAGTTGCCAAGGAAAGGGAACCCTGTGTAGAATAAAGCCAGGCTATGGCTGGGACAGTTTTTGTTACGTAAATGGTTGTTTTACATGATATTTACTGTCTTTTGCTGCACTTGTCTTTTCAATAACTTCTTTGTACAGAAAATTCACATATCCTCTCACCCAGAACATGTCTTCTTTCACAAAGGTTCACATATCCTCTCACCAAACATGCCTTTTTTCAAAGGCTCTTCCACAGAAAGCTCACATATCTTCCCACACAAACCATGCCTTCTTTCAAAGACTCTTCCACAGAATATTCACATATAATCTCACACAAAGAATGTCTTTTCAATAACTCTTCTCTACAAACAATTCTTTCATCCTCTCACCCAAAACATGTCTTTTTGCATGCCTTCTTTCACAAGGAATCACATATCCTCTCACCAAACCCATGCGCTTTTTCAATGGCTCTTCCACACAAAATTCAATTCACATATCTTCCCACACAAACCCATGCCTTCTTTCAAAGGCTCTTCCACAGATAATTCACATATCTTCCCACACAAACCATGCCTTGTTTCAATCACTCTTCCACAGAAAATTCACACATCCTCTCACCCAACACATGTCTTTTTACGTGTCTTCTTTCAATGAAACAAAGGCAGCATATGTGAAAGAGTTGCCAAGGAAAGTGAATCCTGTGTAGAATAAAACCAGGCTATGGCTGGGACAGTTTGTGTTACATACATGGTGGTTTTACATGGTATTTACTGTCGTTTGCTGTACTTTTATGAATCACTGTAACCCTGACTCTTCCACAAAGACTCACATATCATCTCACACAAAACATGTATTTTTCAATGACTCTTCTCTACAGAAAATTCACATATCCTCTCACCCAGAACATGCCTTCTTTCACAAAGGTTCACATATCCTCTCATCATGCTCCGCAAATGTTGCGCAACATTTGGAATTTGTTGCGCAACATTTCCCTGGACCAACAAACCAAAAAAACAAAAAAAACAAAAAACAAAAAACCAAAGAATCCCAGCCATGGTGGGGGCTAGGATTGGTTTTTGGTTTTTGTTTTTTTTGGTTTTGTTGTTTTTTTGGTTTTGGGTTTTTTGTTTGTTTTTTTTGTGTGTTTTTTGGTGTTTTTGGGGTTTTTGGTGTTTGGTTCTTGGTTTTTGGTTTTGTTTGCCACAAAATGGCCTTGCAGAAAATGCATGGGTTCAATCAAAATACACTGTAAATACCAATGGTTTTGATACATGATGCAACAACACCTGGGTACTGGGGGGGGTACCATATATATATATATATATGTCACAGGTCCAAAACATCTAGTTTTCGTAGTCAACCCCACGTTGCTGCATCGTCTGGCGCTCGCAAATCCGCAGATCACCCGACACCCACATCTATGGAGCGCAAGAGCTCCAAGACTTGCAACACCACAACTCCTGCGCTGGAAGACGAGGTGATCTCTGAATTTATTCGCCTCTTCCACCAACTGGACAGGATCTGAACATGCTGGCTTCTAGGCCAGCGTGCTCTCCAGTGCAGTAGTGTCACGCGGGAATATTAGAGAAAGCCTTCGTGAAATGGGATCTTGAGCCCTGTAAGAATCACTGGATGTTGGCCACGAAACTATCTGTTGCACATCCAACAGCGCCAGCAGGGCAATCTAATCTGACATCATCAGGAAGACCAGCCCTCTTGACAGTCGCTGATTGAGACAGCAACCACGAGAACCACAACTGCAAGGAGCAGAGGAGAAACAAGGCTCGTCCTATGGGTTCGTGGCTGCCATCCCCGGTGGAGCAACATCCAGCAAAGACACATTGCCTCTCCAAGGGAGAGTATCATACTTAGTTGCTTTTCCAACTCTAACACACAAAAAAAGGCGGCGCGTCCTGAATCCCCTCGCAAGTGGAATCTGTTGGCCGAGTTCCGCGTGGTAGTGGCCCAAGGAACGCGTCCAGTGAAAGTGTCAGTAAGTCATGTGAAAATTGATGCCGCGAGTGAGAGGCCCTTCGTTGTTTTGTCTCTCACCCCGCGTGCCAAGGCTTCACTCACTCATGTGGATGCGAAAGCTGAACCAATCCGATCATAACGCAATTAAATCATGGGTTACCAGATCTAGAGGACAGACAGATTGGATGTGGATGAGGAAGCATTTGGATAGATAACTAGGTACACGGACAGACAGACAGACAGACGGACGGACAGACAGACAGACAGACAGACGGACGGACGGACGGACGGACAGACGGACAGACGGACAGACGGACAGACGGACAGACGGACAGACGGACAGATGGAAAGAAAGAAAGAAAGAAAGAAAGAAAGAAAGAAAGAAAGAAAGAAAAAATAATAAAGGAAGAAAGAAATGCAGAAAGACAGAGAAACAGACACAGAGACACAGAGAGCGAGAGAGAGAGAGAGAGACAGAGAGACAGAGCGACAGACAGAGAGAGCGAGAGAGAGACACAGAGACAAAGAGACAAAGAGACATAGACAAAGAGACATAGACAAAGAGACAGAAAGACACAGACACAGAGACAGACAGTGGCAGAGACAGAGACAGAAAGACACAGACGGAGACACGCAGAGACACAGACACACGCACGCACAGACACACAGACACACCCACACACACACACACGCACGCACGCACGCACGCACACACACACACACACACACACACACACACACACACACGCTGACACACACACAAACAGACACATACACACAAAGACACACAGAACAGCCAACACAAACAGAACAGACAAGACAGACAGGGCTGACAGGGCAGACAGGACAGACAGAAAGACAGGACAGACAGACAGGACAGGCAGGACAGACAGACAGACGGACGGACAGACGGACAGACGGACAGACGGACAGATGGAAAGAAAGAAAGAAAGAAAGAAAGAAAAAGTAATAAAGGAAGAAAGAAATGCAGAAAGACAGAGAAACAGACACAGAGACACAGAGAGCGAGAGAGAGAGAGAGACAGAGAGACAGAGCGACAGACAGAGAGAGCGAGAGAGAGACACAGAGACAAAGAGACAAAGAGACATAGACAAAGAGACATAGACAAAGAGACAGAAAGACACAGACACAGAGACAGACAGTGGCAGAGACAGAGACAGAAAGACACAGACGGAGACACGCAGAGACACAGACACACGCACGCACAGAC